CCGGTGTAGCCAGTTCCCTTCCAAAGTAATAGTCACCCAGTTAGGATTCATGCAGATGCTTGAAATTCTTAAAAATACTTTAAGCTGCCCAGCTTTTATACGTTAAGCAATGTTATTGAAGTTGGAGGATTTTTTGTTGCATTAGAGTTTTGTCTGAACGTGAGGAAATACTCCAAAACACTTGCAGCTGTAATTGCAACAAAAACTGATTCTGCAAAATTTTGACTTAGGTGGAGCTGAATACAAATTCAAGCCACACTTTTCAGATTTTTATTTGAAAAATCTCTTGAAAACATTGCATTGTATTCCTTCCACTTCTGTTTTGTGTTAATGTAGGACAGAAATGTAATGTAGCTAAGACATTTTCAATGTATTGGTGGGGCTCCGGAGATATTTTTGATTTATACTGTAAACGTATGTTAATACCTGCGATTTACTACGTAAAGGGCCGAGGGGAAAAGTGTTTGTTGGGGGCAAGTCCTGCGCCTGCTTTCGCTGCTGGACACTCTGGTGTCACAGAGGGCTTGTAAGAGCTCCACCCTTCACTTGCTGTCCGGCTCCGTCTCTGGAGACGAACAGATGGCAGACCTGTTTCCTCTGCTTCTGTCTCTGCTGGTGCCCCCAGCTGGTCACTCGCTGCACCAGCAACAGTGCAGTGTGTTAGTGGGGACGATACTGCAGTCACTGTGTGACCAGGTAGGAAGAGCTCCTCTGGAAAGGAAATAGTTTTCTTTAAGTTAAACTCCCTTCAAATGTCCATCGCTTGTTTTAATCAGGACATTTCTCTGGTGGTGCCGCCACCCGGTGAGGGCTGCGTGACGGAGGCTGAGCAGCTGGCTAATGCACTTCCAGGCCGAGACATGATGTCTTCGGTGTGTAATTCCCTGTTAGAGGTTTTAGGAAATAAAGAAGCCAGCATCCCTCTGCTTCTCACCTGCATCAGGACATTGACTTTCTTCACAGAGCACGAATACGGAATCTACCACCTCAAAGTGTAAATGCCAAAGTTTTCCACTGGTTTTTTTCATGTTTAATCTATTCTTCAGACTTTGGCATCATCTTATATTCTTGTTCTCTCCATTAATTTCCTTCAGCACTTTGAGGAAACATGGTTCAGAGGTGTGCTCGCTGCTGAAAAGGCTGGTGGTTTCCTTCAACAAGGACTCGACGGATCTGGTTTCAGCTCTGCTCGACTTTCTGAGGCAAATCCTTAACACGGAAACGACGGTAAATTCAACTTAAATAACAACAAAATGAGACCAGTGATGAAAATGTGATTACTCTGGGTGCAAAGAGCAGATTTTTCTAGAGCATTCACTCAAATTAATCATCTGGTAACTGCAAAAACATGAAATCTGACAAAGTATTTTTAGTCTAGTTGCAAATATCTTTGTACATTTAAGAACACCAAAGTTACAAGTAAGTTTCCATTAAGATACAGGATCTTATTTTAAATTTAAAAAAGTCGTAATATTGATGAAAAACTAGTAGTTCCACTATCAGATTAGAATAGAATAGACTTTATTGATCCCCAAGGGGAAATTACGTATATGCTGAAATCTCCATCTTTGGTAATAAATGCAAAGTTTGTAAAATTAAAGATAAAAATTTAGGATGATTTCACTTATTCCCAATGTTATAAATGAGATATTTTAAATATTCAAAACTGAACACAGCGACCAAAAACAAAACATTAAAATCACTTTCAACCAAAACTATAAATAAAATCAATTTTGATTCCTCTGTAAATAGAATTTTGCATATAAAATAATAAGCAGAATGGAAATATTTTTAATTTATCATGCAATTAATTGATAAATTAATTGTGTCAAACATTGTCAAGTGCATGTAATGCTACAAACAAGGCATCCTCTGTATTGGCTGACATTTACAGGCTGTTGATGCTTTAGCTTAGCTTTCCTATTGAAAAAACATTTTAGGACAAAAAACATCTTGAAATTCAGACATACTTGCAGTTATCAGTCTGAATTGTGAAGTTTCATTTGTTTCCAGTGTGCAGAGGAAGGCCAGGGCTCCAGTGAGGAAACCGCCTGTGTTGCTCCACGCTTGCTGTCGAGCTCAGAGATGAAATCTCTGCTGCAGTTTGAAGACTCGGAGTCACACCCGCTGACGACCTTAGAGAAGCTAATCACGGTACGCATGATGCGCCGCTGTGCAGGTGTGTCTTTATAAAGCTTAGCGTGGACATAATGTGCAGGTTTTCTTGCTTGTTTGTGTTCAGAAATTATGTAAAGAAGACGATTCACTGGAAACCATGATGGAGAACGTGATTGTCCTGAAGCAGACGCTGGAGACGGCCACAGAAGGTCCTCCACCGTCAGAAACCGAACCCATTCTGCCTGCACCCGAAGCACTGGCAGTCCAGTTCAACCACAGGTCGGTCTCTTGAGCTGTGTTCATAAGCATGAAAAAACTGACTCAGAATGATAAATAAGATGAAAATAATATTACATAAAGATGCTGTGGCTTGATTTCCCCTGCAGGACAGTGTTTATTCTGTCAGAAGCTCTGGATGAGCAGTTCAAAGCTCTCTGGTTCTCTCCTTTCCAAACTGATGACATAGAAACAGATCTAGACATGGTGAGTTTGAAACTGGATCAAGATTTGAAGGTTAGATTTGAATCATTGGTTGAAATGATTCAAGTCTAACATGTGAACCAATGGTGGATTCGTAAACCTTCACCACTATTTTTTTGCAGTTTTTCTTTTTAATCTTAAGTGACATAAACGTGTCTCCTATCTGGTTTCATTCGTCTGTTCCTGCACCTTGCTCCAGGTGAAGGTGGATCTGGTGGGCTTGGCTCAGGAGTGCTGTCCAGAGCTAGATCTGAAGGCCGAGCTGGAGCGCTCTTTCCTTTCTGAGCCGTCCTCTCCCGGTCACACGAAGGTCGCCAAAGGCTTCCGACTGGGCAAACATAAACACGAGACGTTCATCACATCCAGGTGCAACACTGGCGGAGCGTCAGGTGTGGCTGACTCAGTATCTTTACAGGAAGTCTTAAATCAGCGCTTTCTGTGCTTCCCTCTGCAGCGGTAAATCCGACTACATCGAACCTGCCAAAAGAGCCCACATCCTGCCGGCTCCTCGAGGCCGTGGAGGTCGAGGAGGGTTTGGTCAGAACGTCGCCAGGCCCCATGATATTTTCCGGCTGCGCAAACAGAACACTTCTCGCCCTCCAAGTATGCATGTGGACGACTTTGTGGCAGCAGAGTTCAAAGACATTGCTAACCCTCTGGGGATTCTGCCTCCCAAACGTCTGCCAAAAAGCACTCCCAAACCCCCCACCAGAGGGCTGTTTACTGGCAACAGAGGCAGAGCGGCCTTTCACAGCCAAACTCGCTTTTTCACCCCGCCGCAGCCTAAAGGTGTTCTGCTATCAGGTGACGTGTTTATTTGTTTTAACTCTGAACGTTGTCCTTCTTTAGCTGAAACAGTAGAGGGTAACAAACGCCCATTCCTGGTGCTGCAGGTAACTACGCTCGGAGAGAGGGAGGCCGGGGGTCGTCATGGAGCGGCCAGGTTCCTGCTGTGACCCACAGAGGAACCTACAGTGAACCCCGCGGAGGTCAGAGCAACTTCGCCCGAGGGCCTCTGCCGTCCCGACAGCTGCCTGCGAGTACGTTCACTGCAAAAACACATTCCTACACAAGCATCTCAGCTAATTAAACATAATTAAGAAGTTACTTTAACAGTACAAAACATTTATTGTACAGATTTAAGACACTAAAATACTATGCTTTTAATATAGATTTAGGAGACAGATATTATAAGTTTATACTTCCTTCTGCTCTTTTTCTTTCATGATTTTGTTTAGTTGTTACATAAACTATTTATATTGTATGAATGAAATTAAAAAAAGTTTTTTATTTATAAAAAGTTTTAATTCATTGTAATATTTATTCAAACAAAGTTAAAAAGTAATGCATGCATAATTAAGGGTTTATTAGATTAAAATTAGTTCCAATCATTACTAGAGTACACTGAGACATTTCAGTGTTGTAGTTTGACCACCATCCAGACGAGGGCGCCGCTGGTCATCTTTTAACGGAGCCAGTTGAACTTGACTCAGGAATTAAAGATGGTGGCCATCCTAAAATGGGGAACATTTCAAACTGTATTTATGTTTATGGTTCAAACGGAGTCTGCTTTGGGAGACAAAATGTTTGTTTTGACACATAAACTCTGGAGAATCTCCTTAAGTTCCACGTTTATAGCGCTCTAAAACCCATTTGCTTTTTTTTTTTTTTTTTTTGTTCCGCCTTACAGGTGCTTATCGGCTGGCCATTCGGGATCGAGCCCCGCGGGGCCGGGGAGGTACGGGGCTGTCTTGGCTTGGTGCAGGGGGAGGCCTCGGCGCCGCAGGAGGAGGAGGAGGAGGAGGAGGAGGACGGGGGTCTCAAGGGAGCAAGTTCAGTGGCGGGGGAGGCAGTGGAGGTGGGAGGGGCAGACATGTGCGCTCTTTCACCAGGTAAATCCACCTGGGTAGTGACTTCAGCCTCTCGAGGGCTACAAACGGACCAATCAGGATTCATGCTTGCCGTCTCCATGGAAACGTCTTGGCTTTGGTGTCACAATGACTTAGTTGAGATGTTTTTGTTTTTTTTTACAGAATAAAGGTGACAGTGACTTAGTGTGTGTTTTATTAAAAATAAAAAACGGGTAAACTGTCTTGAGACTGAACAGAATTAAATGTTCAAAAACACTTTTCCATTCAATCTGCTTTGGCACAAAAACTGAGAAAAAGAATTGTGCAATTGCAGCTGACAGTAAGGAAGCTTTTGTAGGCAAATGGCCAAATTTAACCATTAAACACTAAAGATGAGATCACAAGGTTATCATGGACGGAAGCGAAATCATGAATTGATGGATATTTGAAGATGAATAAGCTGCTTTGGACAATAAAAGCGGGAAGAAAATTGCATTCCTGGTATTTCATAAGAGATCTTGAAACATACAAACAGATATGTGCATGTGCAGGCTGCATTTCATTCAGCTTTATTTGACTAATTTGCTCTCAAAATGCTCGCGAAAGCATAGGCTACAAACTCAAATGTCTGTCTATGCTGGATTAACATGGATTAAGCTCACTCCTTTCCTGAGATGACTTAAAGTACAACTGAATAAATACGAATGAACATTCCTAGGTAGTTTATGAACCAAACATAAAACAATAAATCATTCTCAGTATTGTTCCATAAGTTCATATCCGTTTTCTTACAATGAATAACCAAGGATTTTCTACATCATCCACTGTTATTGTAGTTTTACTCAAACTGAAAAATACATCAGCTGTATTGTGATTAATTCATCACATTTGAATTTTCTTTTTTCTTACCAAATTGTTACACTTTGACATGATTAATAATCTTTTAAACTTAAAATAAACTGAATAAATTGTTCCAATATGGATGTTCCACTTCCAGTCCCTGTCGGAATAGAGGTATGAAGACAAAGTAACAATATGTCAAAGTAAATAGGTTTGTTTTAAACAATAATTTAAAACTAGTGTTCAGTACAAAAACAGTGTAGTTTGATTTCTATATAATTGTTGGAACTTGCAAATAAAAAAGACTCCGGTGGGTTCAGATGACTGTCACCTCGCGGCTCTTCTTCTTGATGCAGTCCAGGGTCAGACTCCGGGTGCCGCCTTTACGGACTCCTTCCCCAGGCTGAGGCGAAGCGGGAGGGCCTGCAGCACAGGGAGCCTGAGCTGAGTGCAGAGACAGGCAGGAGGCGTGCAATGAGGCCTCCCTCTGCTGGTGTCGAGGTGGATCTGTGTGAACTTCCCAGGTGGATGACTGCTGGTCTCCTGCATCCCTGGCTGCCTGCTCGGCGGGAGGCTGACTCCTGGTCGGCTGGATGTCTCTGAGGAGCTCCAGCAGCTCTCTCTTCTCCAGCTCTGCCTCTGCCAGTTCCTGCCTCCTCAGACGCTCTGCTCCCAGCAGGGCACGCATGTCGCACATCACACGGGACAACTGACCCTGCAGAAAAAAAACACATCCTATCAGACACATCTGTGACAGCTGTGAATAAATCACTCCATGTCAATGGCTAAGTTGTAGGAAAACCTCAATTTTCAGTTTATTCAGCCTAATATTGCCAATAGACAATGTTAAAAAAATTTTTTTTTTTTTTTTTGTTTTTCAATTCAGCACATTAAAAAATTTGTAGCCCTTCTTGGAAAGACGGTCAATTTTTGATACAAGAGAAGATTCAGGTTCTTAAGAAAATAGCCGCTTATCAATTAATTATTAGTCAATCCATAAGATCAATCAACTTTAGGTTAATTGGTAACGTGAATCCTTAACTCTGGTGTAATTCAGTATTTCACCTTGAGCTCCTCCACTTCACTCTTCAGCTGCGACTCTTTCTGCACCATGTGTCTCCTCTGGGAGTCCAGCCGAGACTCCATCTCTCGTCTCACCTCCTCCACCTTGCACAGCATCTCCGCCCTGCCAAAAACAAACAAACAAAACTCCAAAGTGACAAGATCAGAAGGGACACTGAAGCGTAGTCGTGATGTGACAAAATGTGGGAAAGTTCTGGGGCAAGGACACAAACCTCATCATGTCCACCTCCAAGCGCAGCTCTGCCACACAGTTGTGCTGTGATTGATCGATGGAGTGGAGAGTGTGACCACAGCCGATGGGACACTCTCTGCTGCGGAAGTTGCATTCGGACAGGTGGGCCTCCAAACCTCGCCTCTCCACCTGCACCGGGCAACCTGAGACAAGAACGCCACCGAAATCTCCAGTAAATCCCCAGCTGCATGAAGACTTGGTAACACATCTGAAGTTTTGTTGCATTGTAAGCATTGAGTTTTATTTGCAGATGAAAGATTTGATCTTTATTTTGGATTTTCAATGAGCCAAATAAATGAACAACATGTGAGTTTATCAAACTATCAACGTAACATCGATAAATTTTAAAACTAAACACCTCATGGTGAAGTTGGGAATAAGTGACTAAAATTTTTAATAAAGCAAATATTTTAAAGCTCAAAAGAAGATTTATTAATTTGCAAAATTTAAATGAGAAGAAACAGAGCAACCAAAACACGTTTCATCTTTCAGAGATCCACTTAGCTCTACTTTGAAGAAAGATTTGACAATTTCTGAAACACGGCGAGCATTGCCGGAAAAAAAAGCAAGTTAAAGATAGAAGAACTTCTAAAATCTTGTGACAAGATCAGGAGTAATACTTTACTGGATGTAGAAGAAAATAATTAATGAGAATTTCTCAGTTTCAGCCACTTTAATGGAAGAATGTTTGTGATAAGCATCTAGTTATTTTAAAATCTACAAACTCCACAGCAATCAGACAGCTGCAGAAAAAGCTGATGCAATTTTCATAGCACTGCAAAAAGAAAAAAGAAAAGAAAATCACACTGCATGTTCACACTTTATCACTGTACCTACCACAACGGTAGCAAATGTACTCTCCACCTGACAATGACATGTTCACATTGACATCATGGGTTAAAAAGTACATATTTTATATACATTACGGCTTATCAAATAAATATAGATCCCAGAAAAACTTTGTGTGTGGTCTCTGGGGGGGTTCAGCGCCATGACAACAGATGAGCCACCTGTTGTTCAGCTTGTGGTTTCACGTTACCTTTGTTGCTTACACTTCCATGACGATAACCACTTAACTTTGCAGTAGGTGATATACGTAAATTGAAATAATAAAAAAACAAATCACCGAGCGAATGCTTGGCCTCAGCTAGGAAATGTTTTCTGACCTGTGTTGGAGCAGGCGATGAAGGCAAACTCGCACTCATCCTCATGTGAGTGGAGGCTCTCAAGGGAGCAGACCACCTCGCACCCCTGCCCTGCGTTCACGCAGCGGATCTGCAGCCGGTTCAGGTCGTTGCGCATGTACCTGCCATTAAACAAGCAGAACCTCCCATATATGCAAAAGAATCCTACATAGTTTGAACTCAGTGAGAGATTTGGAGTGATGGGTGGTGCTGCAGGGACCCACCTGTACAGAGGTCTGAGGCTGCTCACATCCAGGGGAAGCCTGTCTTCAGGACAGGAATGGTGATGGAGCAGCCAGCTGCTGATGCAGGCACTGCAGTAAGCATGTTCACATGGTGCCTGGAGGGGGCGCTCCAGCACGTCTCGACACACACAGCAGAGCAGACCCTCATTGACGTAGCCCACAAACCTCTCCAGATCAAAGCCCATCCTGCAGCTTCAGAGGTCACACAGGTTATGCACTGCAACATCAACAACAACAAAAATAAGCTGGGAAGAAAATGTACTCATGTTTATTCTCTCACAAAAAACACTCTCCTACCTTTAAGGTTAATCTTAACTTCATTAAACTCTTCCTTCTTCTTCCCTTCTTTGGTTTTTGACTTCACATGCACCTGCACAGGAAACCTTCCTTCTTCTCTTGTCGCTGCATTCTTTCCCCCTTCATCTCCTCTCGTCCCTCCATCCAGATCCAGGTGAGGGTCTCCTCTCCTGCACAACCCTCCCCTGCCTTTTGAGCGTGCGTCTCTGTGGGGAAGTATCCCTGACAACGGCCAGACAGCTGTTAGATGAGATCGGATGAGGCAGAATTACAGCAACCGAAAAAACTCAGTCAAGAAGAGAGAAACGGGTGCAGGACGTCTCACTTACTGCCTAAGAATTAAAACCGTTTTGGGACATAGCCATTAGAGATCACTCCCAGTTCTGTCTCTCTTTAATGACCTGCCGCGTCCCGAGGTTTCTCTCTTTCTGTCCGTCTCTGGATGTGGGATTAACATGGATTACACTCTCTCCCTCCCTGATTGGATTAAAGAGCACACAACATCAGATGACACAAAACACACCAGGACAGGGATCAGAGGTCATCCCCTCTCTTATAGGTTAGACTCAGCAGAGAAATAGTAAGAGTGACTGCGTAAAAATGTGAAATAAGCCGTCTCTTACTTAAATGTATCTGAAGTTTGAAAAAACCTGGTTGTATTGACAAAACATAAAATGGACCAGCATAGCTTCTATCCATGATAGAAAACTGTTTGCAACTACAGAACTGGGCTGATGTTCTGATGGTCCTTAAACAGAATGTTTCCTTTTACAGTAAGAGGTTAATTTCCTTCTAAATTACGGTATAATTATTATTCAATGCAGGTTTTCACTAAATTACCAGAAAGTAAGCAAAAAAAGAAACTAACCAAAAATCAGCAGTGGTGCTAGTTGTCCATTAAGCCTTTTGAGTTAATGTGTCGAGGAATTTGGATGTGAATTTCATTCGAAATTAAACATTGGTCCCTCAGACAATTAAAGTTCAGAAAGAACCACCAGCAATAAATCAATACAAATGTGTGATAATTCCTGTATAAGTCACCAGTCCACAGACACACATATGCACATTAAGGCAGTTTAGAGAGAGACCTAAAAAAAACCTAAACATTAAATGTCTTTGAGCAGCTGGAAAATAAAAAATAAAAACTATCCACACATTCAAATTCCGCAAAGGTTTAGGGTTAGTTCTAAACAGTGCTAACTACTAGAGCACTCTCAATCAGTGTATGTTTCATTTATATGTACACACTGGCTAAGTTGAAGTCTAATAAACAGTGGTGTGATATAAACACGGAAAGAATCGAAAGTTGATATATCGATTTTAAACATAATGAGCTTTAACAAACATATTTTTAAACATAAAATAATCATAAAACCCCATCAGCGGGGTTCCGACCCCGCCATTGTGTATCTCTGCCACTGTGGTGACGTTGAAACCAAACACACCTTTTTCATTTTGGCCACGCCTTCCGGAAGCGTTAAACCAATCAGATTCTTTCCGCTGTTCAGCGGGAGAAACAACAGAAACGAGTCCAGAGTTGTAACTTGTCGTTGGTTGAGTTTTGGTTTATATATGCGGTGATATAACTTTAATCTCATCAAGGTATGTATGTACAAGACGTCGACTAAGATTATACTACGTCCGAGTTTAAACTCCATTAACCCTTTCAGTAACTTATTTTATAGCTTTTTGGCTAGTTTACTAACCTCTCACACCGATTAAGCCTTTAGCTTTTGCTGATAGGTGGGTTAATAATGGCAGTTATTTGTTAAGACCATATATATATAACACTATTAGCTCGGTTACATCATGGGGAAAGGCATCATCTTGTTAGCTGAAACAATAAAATGAAATGTATAAATAAACAGACTGTTCTGCATTAGTTGAATACTAACAACGCTATTGTTTAGATAAAATGGTGATAGCTATAAGGTTATTAATGTCACAGCTTTCCAAGGTACACAATGGCTTCCAGCTTTGTTTACACTCAGCATAAGGTATTTCTCATAGGAGAAATTAAATGATTATTAAAACAAACCACTTGAAAAATACACTGAGTTGTAATTAATTTCAGTTTACAACAAGAGCAAATACAGAAGATTAGATAACTACTTGATCATGTAACAATTTCGTAAATTTGCCTGTATTTAAAGACAATTACAGACTTTGTGTTTACACTTGAAGGATGCGACGTTCAGGAGCTCCCAGTCAGCTTTTGGGTAATGCTGTGAAAAAACCTCGCTTTGTGCCACCAGGAGCATTTGCTTCATATCCTGCAGAAGAATCAAAGCCTCTAGCCCCTAAACTTGGCTTGGGAAATGCTCTGGATAAAGTAAGTTTGTCCTAATATTTTGTTCTGAGAGCAAATTTTCAAATATTGGTCCGTCGTGTATTTTTGCTCTCTAATTCATGTCTTGCAGGTCCAGAGAAGTCTTTCAGCAGCGGTTCTGAATAAATCAACCTGCAGTGGTCAGGGTCAAACAGGCCAGACTGCTTCAGGTTTGTCCAAGGTGCTGGCCCGAGTTCTCACTGCAACAGAGAGTAAAGAAAATGAGGACGAGGCAAAATATGAAGACTGTATAGAGGACGTAAATTTTTCTGGTGAGGAAACTCTTATTGATCTGGTTTTGTTTATTTTCTTCATTTAAATTTTTTTTTTTTGTATGTTGAAAACAGCAGAAACGTATTAAGCTTGGAAATTGCCCTAAAATGACATTTGCAGGGAATTAGCACTGCTAAATGAAGATGCTCTTTGAAAGCTTAATTGAATCCAGTGATTAGAAATAGAAAGACTTATAAGACTTACAGGTAAAAAGTTACAGATTTGCAATTGTTTTTGATCAGTTTCGAGTTAAAATGTTTGCTGTTAAGGGTTTCATCAGGAGACAAATCTAAACATTTTAAGTAATTGGTTGCTGCCCTCATATCACCAACATGTTTCACTATGTGCACAGAAAAAAAGGTCTGGACATTTAGAATCTACACATTTGCAACAGAGTGCAGCAAATCAGTAAACTATCTTGTAGACACCCTCTGGATTTAGGGTGGCGTTTCAGACTTGACCCACCAGGTGGAGGCAATGAGGCAACAGTGGATTATCTGGTTTCCAGCCTGTGGGGTTCCCCAGAATCCCCAGGAGCAGCAGGAGGAGGTAACTAGAAAGAGCTGGGGTATGAAGAGCTGCTAAAATTGCAGCTCTGTGATTAATGCGTAAGATAGAAAACCAGCAGAGTCTCTTTTATGGTTTTTAACTGGGGTGATAATGGATAACTAAAAGAGCAGAACAGCATAGCAAGCAAATACAGATTTAGGCAGGAACAGGTGAAAAAGACAGTTCTTTTAGAAAATAATCCCTTAAAACAAACCTAGATGGCAGTCTACATTTCTGCTTGAAAGTGTTTTACCTTTTAACTTTATATAAACAATTTTTCTCTCCTTAGTGAGGTCCCACTTTTGCATAGTGAAGAATGGCAACATGATAAACCCTGATGTAGAAGGTTCACTCTTACGATGCTCTGTGTTGTGTCTGGACATTTTATCACTAATATTACCTCTTATTGATTCCATATTGGTGCAAATCTGTCCTATAGATTTTGTTCATACCAGCTGGCAGATTATAAAGTCTGCATACGTATTTGTCATATTTTCTGACATATCAATCCATCCAAAAATATGTCATGAATTCATATTAAATTTATGTTTTAGTACTTTTAAAAACCTTTTGCTTTGACATGACCAATGTGATCCCTGGATATTTTCACAGTTTCTGAAATGAATAATTTTAAACTCTTTTTGAGACTGTTGGTTCTGATCCAACCAACTGATAAAAAACTAACATTCATATTATAATTCAAGGCTGGAATTTCATGAAAGAACTTGCAGTGTCATTTTGGCAGCAACATACAATCATTTCAGAAATGACTGGATGAAGAGATTAGTCTATTTATACAATATAAATGTTGATGAATTCAGTGGAAATGCATGGTTTATTATACAAACCTGACCTTTGAACCTTTAAGATTAAAGTTAACTGACATCTTGGATCCAGACAGAGATGATCTGATAGAGCAGATTGTTCAGCTTTGATCCGAGTGCCTTCATTTTTAAAAATTATTGAATAAAAAAATATTAATTATCTGAAAATATTTTTGTGCACAAATACACATTTTTTTGGTGGGTCTATTTCCTAAAATAATTTTCTCAGTGATTTTTTTTTTTTTTTTGCCAAAAGTATATTTGCATAAATTACTTTTGATTTTGGCAAATACCTAAATAAAAATGAAAACATTGGCGATTATTTTATTTTATTGGGTTCTGTCGTTCTGTTTGCACATACACTACCGACTTCAGCGCAAAGCTCTACCTCCTTTTTTTTTTTTTTTTTTTGCCTGTTTGCTTGTTTCTGCCCTCGGCAGTCACAACACAGATGCTTTTCACCGTGGACAAGACAGGATAGGTGGGTGGCTGGACAGATGAGAATTCAGACGAGGTTCAAGCATCTCCGCTCGTAAAAAAACACGCGCGCTTCCGCCCGCTCTGCACGCGCTCCGAGCGCGCGCGCTGGGATCCGCGCGGGGAACAGGTGTGGGTTTTCGGTGTGTTTTCGAGTGAGGCTGCTTTGAGCGGAACAGAAGCGCGGCTCGTTGGAGCATGCGCAGTCGGCCCTCTCCCCTCCCCCTGCTTCTGTAGTTAAGCCAGCGCTACTCCAAATCTTCCTTCTCTGTAGAAAAACAGAGCCCTCACCCCGCTGCAGCCTCTAATGTTGCGTTTAAAACACGTCCCCCATGTCTCTATGGAAAGCCGCAGCTGCTGTCATTTTTATTTAAAGCAGTCCAGACAGCGTGGCTGTGCTGCTGCTGCTGCGCTTGGTTTGGGGTTTACACAGACCGAGCTGTAAGTAGGTCGGGCTGGGCTTAAGCGGCTTAACTACGTCAGCCTAAGCTGAGAGGAATTCATCCAAAGCCTTCCGCTGGTAGGCGGGGGCCTAAACGAGGCTGGCCTAGTTAAGCCTGATTCTTATTGTGTGCAGCACAGCCAGTTTTTATTGTGCAACGTAGCCGTGAGAGAACCCAGGACCAGAGTGTGAATCCATGCACTTGTTAGTCAAAGCCTAACAAGGCTTGATCTGGAGGAGAAGAGAAGGGAAATGAGGCATAAATGAGTGTTAGGAACAGTGTGTGACCGGGGACCAAGAGAGAGGACGGAAAAGCAGAGTGGGGAACCACAACTCTGAGATTGGGAGCAGTTTTAGGCCCCCGTCTGCTATGCCATAAGATGGCCTCCAACTCTGTGTTCATGTCCAGCATGGTGGGTAAAGCGCGCTCTTCCAACTTCACCCTCTCCGAGAAGCTGGACCTGTTGAAGCTGGTCCGTCCTCACATCCGCATCCTGGAGGAGCACACCAACAAGCACGCCGTCATCGTGGACAAGAACAAGTGCTGGGACACGGTGGCGGAGCAGTACAACGCTCTGGGAGGGGACAGACCCCACCGCACTGCCCAGGGCCTCAGAACCCTTTACAAGAGGCTGAAGGAGTCGGCCAAGCAGGAAGTGATGCAGCGGAGACACGCCCAGCCCGAGTACCGAGGGAGCATCTCTGAGCCGACCAGGAGGATTATGGAGATGATCCCTCACTTGTTCCAACACGTGCCCGTCCACGAGAAGGACCAGGCACTCCGCAGGTACGGTCCAACTTCCACCTGAGACCTGCAAACATTTCATCCTCCCATCCATCACAACGGCACGCCCATTAAAAATACTTTAAAACAGTAAAACTTATTGGCTTTTTAGTTCCATCTTTGTCTCAGTTAGCTGTTTTGTTAGGAAAACGTGAGACATTGTCATTTGGTCTCATATGACATGGGAAACATTCTTAGCTTTACAATTTGGAGAAACGCTCAGCCATTTAAAATAAACGTCATCACCTGTGAGCAGAACTGGGCAGAGTACCCAAAAATTGTGTTGAAGTAAGCCTAGCACTGTTTCAACATGTTTTTACTTCAGTAAAAGTAAAAGCAGCAATGCAAGAAATTACTCAGGACTATGGAGTAATTCTGAGTAATTAGGACTAAAAAAATAATCATAGTTAGGTTTAATTACTCCATAATTACTTCTTATTTTTAGCAGCACAATAAAAATAAGATAACCATAATCATTTGGCATAATTATGCCAAATGATAAATTGTCCCAGATTTTCAAGTAATATAATGGTAAAGACAAAACAATAAACATTTAGCAATTAAAGATGCAAATAGATCATTATTCTTCTGAGCAGAATTTGATATGAACGACAACCAGTCTTTTAACCATCTTTTAAAATTGGTTTGCAGGTTAATATACAACAAGCACACGTCCCCCATTGAGCATCCTGGCAGCAGCTCCTCTCTGGCTGGACTCCAGGATTATGTAGCACCTGTATCAAGCATCGCCCACGAGGTGGTCCAGCTGGACCCCGAAGAGGACGTGAAACCGCCGCCAGACCTCCCCGTCGTCACCTCGCACGCCGTTCCAGTGCTGGACGGATTTCAAGAGCCAGACGGGGAGCAGGACTTAGCCAGCACCCACAATTACCAGGCGTCCTTGTCTCCCGCTTCTTCCTCGGTTAACATCGCCCTGTCTGCCTCGCCGCTGCCTTTGAGCCACGAATTCTACCCAAACGACGTCTACCCTCGCCACGAGGCGGACAGGTTTCGTCCTCTGCACCTTGCCAAGGAGGAGCACGATCTGGTGTTGGCCAATCACAGGAAGGTTTCCCTGTACCTGGAGGAGAAGAGAGAGGGTCTGAAGAGGAAGCAGGAGCTGGAGGAGGAGCTGCTAAGAGCCAAAATCAAAGTAGAGAAACTAAAAGCTGCCCGACTGAGACACGGGCTGCCTATTCCTCTATAGCAACAAGCAGCTTGCACATACTCTGGTTCGCAAATACGCTCACATCCCTGTAGCTTTTTCTCACTTCCATAAACTTCAGTGTATTTTATTATGACTTTATGTTATAAAAAGTAGTGCAAAAAATGACAACTGTTTGTTTATAATGACTTCCCTTTATGAAAAAAGTCTATTCAGTTTTAAATTTTTGTTAGTCTGTAACCTTGGCTCTGGAGCCATAAGTGGCTCTTCCACAATAACTTTGACTAAAAATTACAAAGAACCAGACAGTTAATATTTTTAAATGCAAATTTTATATCAAAAGCAGGTTTTTAACCCTTTTTTCAAAGATTTCCTGCAATATTTGCACTAAATCTTCACAAAGACAAAGAGTGATGTGAAGCAACAAACAGCAAACATTGGTTTAGAATGTGTGATTTGAAAAAAATCCATCCTATTTTATGTTTATGTTATTATTAAATCCTAAAAATGTAAACAATGTCCTGGTTCTATTAAATGACAAGAAATCTCCTAAAGGAGATATTTGTCTAAAAAGTTGTCTTCTGTTCAAAATGACTCCAAACGAGTTTTATTTGGTGTCCTGACACCAAAATGGCTGTTTAAGTTGTAAAGTCTGCAGACTTTGATCTGTCCCTTAAAATCACAATAAAATACACTGAAGCTCGAGGATGTAGCGTCACCATGTATGAAAAAGTTTCCCGGTTCTGACTATTTTTGCAAGACTCTTGAGCGTGTGTGTGTGTGTGTGTGTGTGAGAGAGACAGTGGATGTGACACAAGTGCTTCTGATGAACCGATTCATGCTTGATGGCATTTTTAGAATCTGAATTACTTTTGGAAACATAGTGCCTCATCCGTACCTGCTGCATGTGGTTATCCTCCTGTTTTTAGGGGATGCGCTGCAGTCGGTTACCTTTTATGCCGATCGGTGTTGAACGTTGTCTTCATTGTTCATAGAAGTGGTGACAAGACACTGTGATTGTGTGAAGTGGAAAACAAGTTCTTCATCTGCAACTGGATGGTAGCTGTGGGTTTATCAGGATAGCGTTAATATTCTTTATTAACCAAGATTATTAGGATTGCTGTTGCAATGTAAGTGTAAGTAGTCGGACAGTTTGGACAAATCTTGTCAGTCTGAAATGGAAAAAATCCCCCCGTTTCTGTGGCATTTTGAGGTATTAAGAAGTAATAAACATTAAAGGCGATTATTTTTTAGTTTCTTGGAAAACTTGACAGTTTTATATATCGACTTAAAAATGACAGAAAAAAATTAGGTCACCATAAAAGTTACGTGTCTGAAAATGTTTTTAAATCATAATTGTGGTACAAGAAACATTTTGAAAAGCCTTATCATGTTCTGAAGAAGTAATGTGAGGTAAAAATATGTGACAGTCGGGGAATCTCTGGCTGGGTTGACGGCCCGCTTATTTAAGAAGGAAGAAGAGGAATTTTTTTATATGTATACACATGTATATTTGTTCCTATTTAATGTGAATTTATTGCTCGTTGTTCTGTAATGTTTGTATACCAGTTTGTCCTCATGTTCACTGGTTTCTATTAAAGGGCATTGATTAAATTGCTGGTATCTCCTTTTATTAATACTTTCTACACATTTTTATTCCTAAAACGTCCAAAACGTACTTATAATGAACTTTTGCTGAAAGCACGGATTGTTGTGCTCCAAGTCAAGGCTTTATGCAACAGCGTCATCTATTGGTGGCTTGTTTGTTTGCATCTTCAAGGATTTCTCAGCCTCTTGCTTTTCTTTCTCTAGCAGGAGTAGATGGAGGCCCCCAGTGGACCCACACATCTCCTCAAACCCCTCAGCCTCCCGCAGATTCACCTCGTGCCTCTGCAGCTGCAGGCCCCGATGGAGCCCGATACTTCAGTGTGGTTTGGTGCAAAGCCAGCAAGAAGAAACACAAGCGCTGGGAGGGAGACGCCGTGCTGGTTGCCAGAGGGCGAACAGTTGTACTCAAAGACATGGAGGGGAAGGATATTGGAAAGGGTGAGCCTTAAGAACATTTATTGTATTGTGGAGAGAACACAAGTTAAAGTCAGTGATGTAATTTTATATTGTGGTTCATTTGACTTCAACAGCAGAAGACTACCTCACACCAGGAGGAAATAAGACTCCTTGTAAAAATATGCATATGCATAACTGTAGCAATCGTATTGTTGGAGGTTAAATTGTCCCAGGCATTATTGCAATAAGCAATAATCTTATTTATTGCGTTAGATATTTTCAATGAAGATAAACTTTATTGTTGTACACAACACTTCATACTAGGAGTGTTGAGAGATTTTAAGTATCCAAAATGTAGCCCAAAAACAATAAGAAGCCATTAAAATCAATGAATAAAATGTTTTATTCATTGAATGAAATGGATTATTCATTGAATAAAATGGATTATGAAGTCTCTCCCTTCAAAAATATTAATTATCAGAATATACATTATTGCACTCATTTTTAATTTTTCAAGTGATTATTTGATTTCTTGCTTACGTCAGCAGGTGATTAGAGGATGTCCAGTGTTGTAACATGATCACATAGTTTTGCAGGAAACTATTTGACCTTCGCAGGATGTTTGTGTCGCAGGTAGTGGCTACAAGGTGTCAGAGTTGGCCTCGCTGTCTGAGGGAGAGACGCTGATGATCGGAGGGAAGGAGATAGAGGTGATGGGCATCGTCTCTGCTGAGGACTTTGCCAAAGGTCGTTGTTTCCAGGAGGTTCAAACTGATCAAGAGGAACTGCACGCTAAGGCTGCTCCACCTCCTCCTCGGAGCTTCAACCCCAAACCTTTCTGCCCCCCAACAATGTTGGGCAGAGCAGGACATCCACAAAATAAACCACAAGTGGAGCAAACCAGAAAACCTCATCATGACCCGCTAGCTCCAGGCATGTAGGATAAATCTTCAATTTAACTTTTATAATGCCACGTAAAGATGGTTTTGTTAGTCCACAGACCATAAGGGAATTTTGTGAGACACCATATCTTGTCATAAATAGGAAGTATGTTTATAATTTAAAGCATTTTTGTGTAGAACATTGATGCTGGGTTTGCATTTTTAGCTTTACAGTCCGCTAACATGCTTAATGCTTGACCCACAGCTTGTGTTAATCAGGTAATTGATCTGCTGCTACATCAGCAACAATTATTCATCAGTGCTGACTAAGTGTCTGCATAGTCTGGCATGAGATTTAGCATCATTAATATCCGGTCATTTCTACATTGTTTGTGTAACATTGTTTTTTTTTTGTTTTTTGTTTTTGCAGTTCCACATTTATGTGGTCCATCAGCATTTCTAAGTGAATATGCTAGTGCTATGAAAATTTTTAATTTGATGTGAAATTATGCGCAGAGCAGCGGTCTGTAACCTTTACAACATAAAGAGCCATTTTGCTCCAAGAACAGTAAAATAAAACTATTTTAGAGCCACAAACGTCAAATTATTTTTTGAAAAACTGTTTGAGAAATATTTACTGTAGGAAATTTCTTTTCATTTTTTGAAGAACAAAAAATGAAAACTTTCATTTTTAGAATTTAAAATAAAGATAAACATAAAATAAGATGGATAGAAAAGAACATTGATTCCAGTTTAATGACAAGTAAAGCAGATCTAAAAACATATTACTGGTACTTAAGGTATAATTTTTTATGAAAGTTCAATGAAAATACTGCCGGAAAAAATGTAAAACTTCTATTTGTTATTATATTTGTCTTTAAAACCTTAACATTAAAACCTTACATTTTTAGCCACAGTTGTTAATACCTGCCATTTTTTGAGGTCCAAAGAGCAAACCTCTCATATAAATGCACAATGCTGAACAATTATTTACTGAAATTTTTCTTCATGCACTTCTGAAATGTGAGACATATATGTAATATTACGATGGGGTCTTCAGTCTTTGGGGTTCTCATTTTAAACCTGTTTTCATAGGTGCCTTAGTGATGCCTCGCCCCTCTTCCAACCACCAGTGGCTTCATAACAAGTCAGGCCTTCCTGTGGTCGACGTCGTCGTCGACCCACACCTGACTGCACACCTGCGACCCCACCAGAGGGAGGGCATGCTCTTCCTCTACGAGTGTGTTATGGGCATGAGGTAGGAGTAATGTTCCTCATGTTACCAAAAAATCTCTTCCTGAAATCTGGAGAAGGGACCTACTGCACAAAATTTACATTTTGCACATTTTTTAAAATTCCATTTTGGGTTTTGACGGCTTCTAGTGGCAGTGGAAACTTTTAAAATCCCGCCCCGGTGCTTTTTGGCAATACGTTTATGTGTTTTGGTGTCTGGGGAATGAGCCGTTTCAAAAACCTTCCGATTGCTAAGTCACTGTGCTGTTACCTAGCAGCCCAAGAGGAGCTCCAGCACAGTCAGCTGGTTCTACTGCTGTACAATGGCTACCGGAAAAGTCAAGGGTTTTGTTGTTGACTTACCATCCAAAAGACACCTGCTGAATCCTTGTTGGTTGTGCAGCAGGCTCTACTTATGCTTTTCAAAGATCTATAATTGTGCATCTGTTTGCAGCCACTTTAACGTGAACGTGTAAACATTGAGTTGGGGGGGGCGTGGCCAGCAGTAGCTTATTTGGACTCAAAGTCCCAAGATGCCCTAAAACAGCTTGTTCTGAAAGGAGCTCAAAAGACACAGAACTGACTGGACTAAAATCTTTTAATACAAAAAAGTGTAACAGACAAGTTTGTATAGCCCATTAACCTGTCCTGACCTGTTCAAGGAAACAGGTCAGCCTTTACATGATCATGTTCTTCAGAGCTGCAGGACGTCATGGCGCCATCCTGGCGGACGAGATGGGGCTTGGGAAGACTCTGCAGAGCGTGGCGCTCTGCTGGACGGTGCTTAAGCAGGGACCTTACGGCGGGAAACCAGTCGCAAAGCGCATCCTTGTGGTCACTCCTGGCAGCCTCGTGCAAAACTGGAGAGCAGAGTTCACCAAGTGGCTCGGCCGGGAACGGATCAGCGTCTTCACTGTGGATCAGGTGCATTTTCTTTAGTTTCATAATTCAGACAACATGACAGCAAAGTGACTGTGACAGCACTTTGCTTCGATTAGTTTTCATATGAACATAATGCTATACATGTGAACTCACTCTCTTATATTGAAGTGCACACGGTGCCATATAAATGTCTTAAATGGTTTTAGAAACTGCTTGGCTCTACTAGAAAAATCCAACTGTTTATAGAAAAGGTTTCTCAAGGCAGTAACAATGGATTACGGAGGGAATTGATTTTATTCTGCCTTTTATTCAACCCCAAACTGCTGCTTCAATCAATCAACAAATCAATCATTTATTTACAAAGCACTTTACACAACCACAGTTTAGATAACCAAAGTGCTTTACAAGATGAAAAGGAACATAAAAGACATAAAACATAAAAGCAACAAGTGAATACAAGAAAGGCAACACAGAACAAATGAAATAAAAGCAGAAATGTCACCATATGTTTACATAGTAAAATCCTGCTGGAATGACAGCTTTGATTTAAAAAGGCCAAGTTTGGTAATGGATTGATGAGCAGATTCAGTTGAATTTGATTGAATTTACTCAATAATCATCGTTTGTTTGTTCTGGGTTTCATGGACTAAACCACTAACATTTCATGGTGATGTTTTCTGTTCAGGACCACAGGATAGAGGAGTTTTTATCCTCCCCTCTCCACAGCGTCCTGGTGATCAGCTATGAGATGCTGCTGCGGTGCCTGGAGCAGGTACAGCACATTCATGTCCTGTCACACTGCTAAACATGCATCTTATATAACTTTATTTAACCTTAGCAAATTTGTTGGTTCTGTTGTGTAATAAACAAGAAATGCAACTCTCTGAAATAAGTTGGAATGGTTTTCTTTAATTGTCACCTTTCTGGTGCCTTTTAATCACAAGAACGATCAAATCATGTTTTTCTAATTTAATTTGCGTACTTTCTTGTATACTGACAGCTGTCTGTGGTTCACCTTTTATGTTTTTCAGATCCGGAAAGTGGAGTTTGGTCTCATAATTTGCGATGAGGGTCACAGACTGAAGAACAGCAGCATCAAAACGTCCTCCGCCCTCAGCAGCCTCAGCTGTCACCGCAGAGTCATACTCACAGGTGCACACCGGCTTGAGTCGTCTTAATAAAGACTTTCCGAAGAGACAAACTTCTGGGTTTGTGATCTGAATGATATTCTTTTGTCATATTTAAGGGACCCCGGTCCAAAATGACCTGCAGGAGTTTTATGCCATCATAGACTTTGTGAACCCAGGAATTCTTGGTTCGATCACTGCTTATAGAAAAGTTTATGAAGAACCAATTCTACACTCCAGACAGCCGTCCTGCTCTGAGGTAATGCAGAAAGTCCTTTCTGACTTTTACCACTATTTCTTACTGCACAGTTCCTACGCAGTCTGCAAAGGATGGAAAAAGGGCAAAAAAAATTCTGTGTTTCCAGGCTTTAGTCTTTATCCCATCATTTAAATGACCAATATCTGAATTTATAAAAGTAAGTTGCTCCAAAATGTGAGCTTTGTATGTAGAGGATGAATGTGGCGTTGAATCAATCAGGTCTGCAGGTTT